GAGGTTTTGGAAGACCTCAATATATTTTCAGGTGTTTGGAGAACTTTTCTAAATTACCTTTAATTTGTCTTATGTCCCGGGGTGAGAAAGGGATCTGGGGTAAAGTATGACCAGATCCTCTGTCTTAGAGGGCAAGTTGAGACCAGCTCAGCCCTCGGTGGGATGTGGCCTCCACCGTTTCCTCTGGTGGATTTTGAGTTGTTATTGCCAGGAGCATGGGATTGAGTTTACAGTTCCTGCCTGTCTTTGGCTTGTCCTCTAGAGTAAAGAAAGTCCGGACATATGGGACTTCTAACCATTTTTCTTCCTTCCTATAGAAAAGGTCTAATTGTAGGATGGTGTTATACTTAAGGCTTCCCTCTGAGGGCAACTCTCCCCATTCGCCAGTTGGTATTGAGGCCAAACCTGAGTGCAGAACAAAATCAGGTGCTATTTTTTTTTTAAGTTTGTGGGTCAGAATTATTCCAATTTTTGAGGGGCTGTTTTCATGTGGTGTGGATGACATGCTTCCCACCTCAAAGGAAAAAAGGCACAAGAATGTTTCCTTTATCCATTGTGCTTCACAAAGGACGTCCTGTGTCCATTGTCACTAGCCTTGGCAGTGGGGCGTCCCTCACCTGGCCCAGGCTGAAGGGAGTCCCCACCCTCACACTAGGAGTGAGGTTACCTTGCCAACATCCAGTCGCAAATAAGGCTGCCAGATGGACTAACCACACTTACCACCACGGTGAGGACCCGAGATCACGCAGAAGGTGTCTCCTGCCTCCCTAACCTGTGGGGGAAGCGTGCATCACCTGTGTCCTGCTCTCAGGCCCCTTGTCTGTGATTAAAAGTGCCTGAGGTACCCATTCATGTGTGTGAAGTACCCGCTGAACTGGATGGTTAAGAACATAATGAACTTAATTCCCAAGGGGTTTACTCTAGGATGTGGACTTAAGAGAGATTTACACATACCTGGAACCCTGGTTAGGCCAGTATGCAGGGATCCGAGGAGAGTACAAACAGCTCTGGTCCCACCCCTTGTATGCCCTTGTCATTAGAGGATTTATTCTCTGCCTGATTTCAGGGGCAAGGATGGAATCTATTTCGAGCCAAATTTAGTACTTTAAACCTTCTGCTCACTGGCTTAATTCTTTATTTTTACTGAACCTTAATTTCTGCTGTTTTACTTCCAAACCTTGAAAATGCCACTTCAGAGATTTTAACTCCTTTCAAACAGGGCAACTAAGTTGGTCGCTTCCTAGAAAAATGCCTGGGAGAGGGACATGCTAGTTGACTTTGCAGGGAACAGTTTAGGTAAAAGGCACACCTTCTTAGTTCTTATCAATGGTGAGAAAACATTTCAGTTACTCTGTGAACATTGGTGGAAGAGGTTTTTACATTTCCCCTTTTTAAGACCAGGGTTCACCTGTACATTTTACTTGGGTTTGCTAGGAAGGAGGTACCACCTTTTCTCTATATATATTTTTGTAGTATCTCCAGTTAATAAGTCCCTGAAGTTCTACAAGCCCTTATCCAATTCAAAGATATGACCTGCTTAGAAGTCTGCAATTTGGAGTAAGTCAGATTCCTTTTTATGGGTTTCTCTAAAGACTTAAATGCACCAGAGCAAAGCAATGGCTGTCCAATATGACAAAATTCGAAAAGTGTCATGGTTATAGATTTGTTTAAAGTGCAGTTGATAAAAACCTTTATTTTCCTATAAAATACTAGAGGCCCAATGCATGAAATTTGTGCAAGAGTAGGCCTTCCTTCCCCCGGCTACCAGCACCGGCTTCCCTCTGGCCCCGGGACCTGGGCTTTCTGCACAGAGGGAGTTCCCGCCCACCCGCCACAGCCCGCAGGTGGGTGGGGACTCCCTATATGGGGCGATTGTGGAGCCCCCTGATTGACTGCCCCGCCAGCTGATGGCCAGGGCCTCCTTCTGCAGGGCAATTATAGGGCGATGGTCAGGCCCCCGACCAATTGCATCACAGCTGCCTTAACTGGCCTGGCACCAGTGGGTGTCATAGTGTGGTCGTCCGGAAGGTCATTTGGAATAATTAGCATATTATGCTTTTATGATTATAGACTAGAGGCCTGGTGCACAAAATTCATGCACGGGGGCAGGGGTCCTTCAGCCTGACCTTCACCCTCTCCCATCTGGGACCCCCTCAGGGATGTCAGTCTGCTGGTGCGGGATCAGGTCTAAACCAACAGACGGACATTCCTCTCGCAATCTGGGACCGCTGGCTCCTAACCACTCACCTGCCTGCCTGCCTGACTGCCCCTAATCCCTCTGTCTGCCTGTCTGCCTTATTGTCCCTAACTGCCTCTGCCTGCTTGCAGGCCTGATTGCCCCTACTTTGACCCCCTGCTGGCTTGATCACCCCTAAGCGCCTCTGGCCCCAGCCTAAACTGCAGTCTGGCCTCCCTCAGCTGAAGGCAACCTGGCCAATCAGAGGAAGGCACTGCCCCATTACCCTGCTGCTGCTGCCACTGGCGGCCACCATGGCTGCCTGAGCCTCGGGCCAGCCCTTGCTGTGGTAGCCACCATCCACAGCTTGTCTGAGCCTCAGGCAGCCACTGCGGCTTTGTCTGGAAGTATGTCCGGATTGTCGCGCTGAAGATGTCAGCCCTAATTAGCATATTATCCTTTTATTAGCGTAGATGACTAATTCTGAGACAACAACCTTTTAGTAAATAATCCCTGAAAAATGACATTGAGAACAACAACCAGTTTGTATATAAAGAATAGCATGTGACACATGGCTTATTGCAGACGGTGTAGTAAACATTGAAAACAATTGATAAACCCCAATAGATGAAACCCACAAACACCCAGAGTGTCAGTGACAGATGCAGAGCATCATCCCGCTTGCCCTGTGTCCCTGACTGGAGACCTGTCATTTCTGAAAGTTTTCTGTTTGATCTTGGCTCTGAATCTGTGTATGTTCTTTTGTGAAGTAGACTGAAACCTCTATAACATTCAAAATATATGTATCTAAATAGAACAGTGTTATTAATTTTTATTTGACAAAGCTTCCTCATGTAATTTCAAGTATATTGAATCGGCCTAATTTAGTTAAAAAATAATTTCGTTTTGAGAGGAGAGAATAAATCCTTCAGATACCCAGGGCCCTTGGGGTGTCCCAAAGGTATTTCTCAGTCAAGAGCCTTGAAAATCCACACTCGGAAGAATCGCCAAACATACTCAATCTGAAGGTCATCAAACTTAAACTGGTTTTAATATTAAAAATTTGGTCCGGACCATAGAATTAATCCTTTTTAATATGGCCAATAAATTGTTATTTTCTAGTAATGCCATTGGAGACTAAGATTTTACCACAAGTAGTAAACAGAAGCTCAGACATATACAAAGACTGCCACATCCTTTGAACTGTTCATTTTTGCAGAAGAAATACTGGGAGGACACACCTACCTCCCACCCATTCCTTTGCCCAGCGCTCCCATGATGCCAAGCAGCCAAGCCTTGATGGCCCGCCCCATTGCCAGCCTCAGTTCCCCTTCAGCCGGTCTGCTTGGGTTTGGGATGTCACAGGCAGGCCCTCGTCCATGTGAGCCACACCTTGGGACCACCTGACCCCAACTAACAATGCTGTGCAGGGAAATTTTAATGGGAGCGATGCTGGGCGGGGCTTTGCAATGTTCCCCACACTGCCCCCTTCCAGAGCGCTTGAGGGGGGTTGGCAATGCCCAGGCCTTCCCAGATTACTGGGGTTCAGGCGAGCAGCCACAAGAGGGGGAAGTCCTGGGAACACAAGCCTTATCTTAAAATTAAGTCTTCAAGTTCCTCTGTTGAATATCACCTAGTAACCTCATTCTGTCACCTTGAGACCAAAAACTGCTTCATAAAGTAAAACTACCTTTTTTTCTTTTTTTCCCCTTCCCCCTCCCTTTTTGCCTCGGGACAGGGGGAGATTCCTGGAGGAGACAGCTGTTATCAATCTTCACCTGGGAGAACACCTTTATTATGCTAACTAGAGGCTAAATGCATGGATTCATGCACTGGTGGGGTCCCTTGGCCTGGCTTGCAGGGATCAGGCCAAAACTGGCTCTCTGACATCTCCTGAGGGGTCCCAGATTGCGAGAGGGCACAGGCCAGGCTGAAGGAACCCATGGGTTCACTATTGGGGCCAGGGAGGGACCGTGGGAGTGGAGCCCTAACGGGTTTGGCTCAGGGGATAGAACGTCGGCCTATGAACTGAAAGGTCCCAGCTTAGATTCCATTCAAGGGCATGTACCTTGGTTGCAGGCACAAACTCAGTAGGAGGTGTACAGGAGGCAGTTGACCATTGTTTCTCTCTCATCGATGTTTTTAACTCTCTATACCTTTCCCTTCCTCTCTGTAAAAAATCAATAAAATATCTATAATAATAAAAGTGTAATATGCTAATTAGACCAGATGTCCTTCTGGATGACCTTCTGGACGAAGCCCAGGTCCCAGTGCCTGCCAGCAGCCAGAGGGATGCCCGGATCCCCGGTGCCAGAGGGAAGCTGGTGCTGGCATCCAGGGGAAGAAAGGCCTACTCTTTCATGAATTTCATGCATTGGGTCACTAGTATTTTTTTTTTTTTTAAACAGGAGTGGAAGGCCATCACTTAGGAAGGACCATCCTGGACGTTTTAGAAAATGAATTTAAATACACTGTGATTTTATAAAGTTCTCTGAACCTCCATAGCCATAGCCAGTTTTACATGGGATGTTTGGAGTAAAAACCTGGAAAGGAACACCAGCCTTCTGAGATAGGTCTAAAAGATTCATGAGCCATCCTTCATGCCCAAGGAAGATGTTGCTACAGCTTTCAAATACATCTTGTTGTTGTTGTATAGTTTGCAATTTAAGTTAATACGACGACTGGTTACATGCAGCTCTCTTTATTATCACCACCAGTTTTGACTCTTGCTTTGTCTGGACTAATCAGATGTCTACGTCCTAATATCAATAATGTATGACCTTATTTATTTATTCAAAGTGAGCTATGTGTTGACTCCCAACAGCACTACTCATTGGCCAAAATACACTTCTAGGGAGTATTTATTTCTCAGCAGCACATAATTCTCTGTCATCCATGCAGTTATATCAGAAGTGGATTTTGCTTCATCAGTTGACGTGTAACAGTGAGTAGTAAAAACGTAGACATAGAGCCTCTTTCAAGTCTTACCCTCTCTTCAGCATACAATGTATTTCTTTATTTCTCCTCAATTTTCTGTTTTTCTTCTTTTCGTTTGGACTCAGGGCAAGAATAAGGAAAACACATGACATTTTTTCTTTATACAAGTACTTTCTCCTATATTCACTAAGGAGATACAAACAATATATGACTCACCAGTCCCGAGATCCTATGTAAAAATGCATCTCACATTGTACTCTTTGCTCCTTATTTCTGTAACAAAATAGCTTGTTCTCTCTTAAGACTGTGCAAGACATACTAAATATAATAAGTAGTTAAAAGGAGTTATGTTAGAATGTTTTTTGGGCTGCCTGATACTCTTTGCTGCGAATCAAGAATTCCTGGAATTGGTGCTTTTTGGTGTGTGTGTCCATGTGATACAGTATAAATTCTTCCTCATGACTCTCCAAAGGTTGAGTTATCCAAGGTTTTTCCTGGAAAATTTCATAATAGCAAAGACATAACAGCATTCCAGCTATCTCTTGAATGCATTCTTTGTGATTTACCAGCCAGTCTCCTCTATCCTGACTTCTCAATAGTTGAGGTTGTCTGGACTTCTTCACCTTGAGTCAGGAAAGCTCTAGCAACTTGGTAGGGCCTGAACTGGATCTTTTAATTGGAGATCAAATAACATTCCACAAAGCCTTCTCTGGAGGTTGGGATAAACATTCATTGAAACAGTAATATGGTCCCCCCCCCCCCCTTTTTTAAGTGTGATCCATAGGATTGTTAAAATGCAAATTTCCAGGACACACTTTCTAGAAATTCTAATCCTATCAGTCTGTTATAGGGCCTAGAATATGAACATTTACCAAAACCTAGGTAATTCTAATGCAAGTGATGTTTCTACTCTTACTGAGCAAAATTCTCACCTCTGACTTTCCTCTATAGGTCAGATGATTTAGATTGTTTGTAAAAGAATTAAATGTTGTTTTTTGACATGCAATTTAGGCAAAGCCATATATATTTTTTAAATATATTTTATTGATTTTTTACAGAGAGGAAGGGAGAGAGATAGAGAGTTAGAAACATCGATGAGAGAGAAACATCGATCAGCTGCCTCCTGCACATCTCCTACTGGGGATGTGCCCGCAACCCAGGTACATGCCCTTGTCCGGAATCGAACCTGGGACCTTTCAGTCCGCAGGCCGATGCTCTATCCACTGAGCCAAACCGGTTTCAGCAGGCAAAGCCATATTTGCAACTTTAAGAAATTCATTTTCTAGGTGTGCACAGAAAATATTTAAAAGTACACGACTAACATATGTGTTGGTTCTACAGCTAGTGTTATTAGAACTTCTGGGATTTCCTCATCTATTTAACAATCAAGAATAGATTTCTGGCCCAGTTGGTATGGCTCAGTGCTTGAGCGTCCACCTATGAACAAGGGATCATGGTTTGATTCCAGGTCAGGGCACATACCTGGGTAGCAGGCTGAATTCCCAGAAGAGGGCATGCAGAGGCAGACAATTGATGATTCTCTCTCATCATTGATGTTTATTTATGATTTCCGATAAAAATTCATTTGGAAAATGTAATAAAAACTGTCCCGAGCCAGCTTAGCCAAGGGTTTGGAAGCCTGAGTGAGGGTGGTGAAAGGAAGAAGAAATGACAGACAAAGAGAATAATCAGAGTCTAGGTGAATCTTCCTGTGCCTGGCTGAGGCAAAAGAGAGAGATCCAGAGGCAAGCTGAGCCTTTATTTTATAGCCAGAGGTAAAGAAGGTAGTGGTCACCATAGTTATAATATTCTTGTGAGTTTCACTTGTTTTGGCAGCACTTGCCACATCTCCCTCAGCCCATTAGCTTCCTAGATAAGATCTAGGGAATGTCATAAGGTCAAGCCTAATTATCCTAAGAGGACTGTGCCCTCTAAGCTGGGACTTGTTTGTGGCTTTGCCAACAGGTGAGTCTGAGGCTTAACCCTATAGCCACGCCCTACAAAAAACCATACAGTATCTGGCAACTATATGAGGATGACATCTCCAAAGTAAAACCAGTTGGTGTTACACACAGAGCATATTCCACAATTTATTTGAAATGGCAGACATTTCCCAAAGCCTCAGAAGGGGGGCAGGTAGGGAGGGTAAGAGATCAACTGAAGGACTTGTATGCATGCATATAAGCATAACCAATGGACATAAGACACTGGGGGGTAGGGGAGGCCAGGGGATTGTCAAGGGCGGGAAAAAAAGGAGACATATGTAATACTCTTTGTAATACTTTAAGCAATAAAACAATTAAAAAAAAAGAAAAAGAAGCTTCAGGGACAACAGATTATTTCTGTTCCAGAAAAAAAAAAGTACATTTATTGGAGAATTTCATATCTAATAAAGCGGGAATATGCTAATTGACCCTCACACCATCATGAAGATGGCGGCACCCACTGCCAATAAGGAAGGAATATGCTAATTGACTGCCATGCCCTCAAAGAAAGTGGTGCCCACAGCCACAAGATGCTGGCGCCCAGTCCCTTCAGCCCCCCAGATGCCCAGGCTGGCCCGTGATGTAGGCAAGCCTCAGATGGTGGCTGCGCAGCCACTTAGGGCCGCTCGAGGCTCAGATAACCAGGGCCAGCTGAGGCTTGAGCTGCCTGCAGTGGCAGAGGAAGGGGTGTGATGGGGCGTCACCTTCCCCTGATCGCCGGGTCCCCTCTTGCCCCTGAGGGCTCCCAGACTGTGAGAGAGGGCAGGCTGGACTGAGGGACCCCCCCTCCAGTGTGCCAGGTTTCTTATTCCAGCATCTAGAAGGGTTCAGCAATCTGGAGAAGGCTGTGCGTAGATTAAAAAGGAGTCCAGAGATGAAATATAATTTTGAAAGGCATTTGGGGGTCCGAGGAGCCAGGTTTAAAGGAAACTAAGGTCTCCTCATCTCAGGACCCCGTGGTTTTTATTAACACAAATTGTTCTGAGGCGAGGTGGAGATATAAACTTCAAAGGGTCAGGGTTTCGTAAACAGAGTTCATTGTCAGATTTGGGGGAAGTAGCCTATGGCTGTTCAGGTGTTTGGCCAGTTTGAGGCAATAACATGTAGATTAAGATGCCCTGAGCTGTCTGGCAGCCAGCAATCAATTTAATGTATCCTATTCAGGCATGGGGAAATGCCCTCAGCCATTCGCAGCTGGTGACAACATATGTGACTCAGCCCTTGTTGAGTCCCCAAGTTCCATCAACCTTTTCATGAAACTCTTAAAATGATGACATGCTAGAATTGGCTTCTGGTACCAGTGCATGAATTTTCATGTACCAAGCCTCTAGTTTCTATAATAATAAAAATAGGAAATACCAAGAAACTGTATTAGTAAAGTGATTGAAGGAATGGTCTCTGTGGCCAAATAGCCTGGCATCAAATCCTGCCAGGTCTGCCAGCTGGGCAATCTTGCACCTCCTTTACCTTATTTTCCTTGGTTCTATGTTTGGAATCATGATAATACCTCCCTCAGGGGGTTTTAGGAAAAGCTGTTTAACCTTTTAGTATCTTAGTTTCCTCATCTTTAAAATAGTGATAAAACCTCTAAGAATGTTTGGTTGCTGTTAAGAATAAATTTTTATATATGCACTAGAAGCCTGGTGCAAAGATTCGTGCACTTGGGGCGGGGTTGGGTGGGGAGGGGCTTAGACCAGCCTGCGCACTTCGCAGTCCGGGACCACTCAGGGGAAGTCCACCTGCAGGAGGGATCGGGCCTAAGGCACCAGTCAGACATCCCTCTCACAGTCTAAGGCTCTCACAGTCCAGGATCCCTAGCCCCTTACCTCCTGCCTACAGTGGAAGCAGGAGAGACTTCTGCTACTGCTGCTGTGATCACCAGCTGTGAGCCAGGCTTCTTCCTGAGTGGCGCTCCCTCTGAGAGAGCACACTGACCCCCAAGGGGCAGCTCCTGCATTGAGCATCTGCCCCCTGGGGGTCAGTGCGCATCATAGCGACTAGTTGTTATGCAGTTCAGTTGATTTGCATATTAGGGTTTTATTATATAGGATGCTGTTTAGTATGGCATGGGTTGAGACACATGACATTTAAAAGGTGCTTGGCATATATTGAACACTCTGTAAGTGTTAGTAATTACTATAAAATACTAAGAAATTGAAAAGAATTTTATTTGTTTTTACTTGTAGGTGAATAAGTATGGACAACAAACACACATATTTGCTGAACTTTAAAGGCTATAATTTTATATCTTCTTTAGTTGATGCTGACTTTCTAGAAAATCTAGATGATTTTGAAATTAGAGATGATGATGTCTTCATAATTACATATCCAAAATCTGGTAAGTTTGAGGAGTGGACTACCTGCTATCAGTTTTCACTCTGGTTTGGTAATACATGTGTACAAATGAGCCCTTTTCCAGACATTAACAGTAGCCCAGCTTACATTTAGAGCACCATTAGGATTTTTAATAGTTAAATAAATATCAAAGTTTTACTATATAAGGTCATTTAAAACGCACATATTGTTGTTTTTTAAGGCGCCTATGAAGAAACCAAATATTGAGCCAAAGCAGATACTAGGTCAGTGATGGAGAACCTTTTGAGCTCGGCGTGCCAGCATTTTGTAAAACCCTCACTTAACTCTGGTGCCATGTCACATATAGAAATCTTTTGATATTTGCAACCATAGTAAAACAAAAATTTATATTTTTGATATTTATTTTATATATTTAAATGCCATTTAACAAGGAAAAATCAACCAAAAAAATGAGTTCGTTTGTCACCCCTGACACCCGTGTCATAGGTTCGCCATCACTGTACTAGGTCAATGCTGACCTGTTGGCTTTCTCTGAGAATGGAAGAAAACATGTAAAAAAAAAAAAAAAAAACCCAGCAGGATTTTGGTTAGCAGCATCTCTCAGTCAGAACTAATTCCTAATATGCTTTTCAATTACCCTAATTGCTTTTATTTCCCTATAATAATGAAATAATTTTGAACCAATGGAAATTGTCCTCAAATCTTACATTCCCCTTAAAAGCTTATTTTTTATATGTGCTTTTTAGAACACAGGGTGATTGGTGTTCTTGAATCAATGTTGTACAAAGTGGTTAATATTGCTCAGAGATACATTGGATTCAAAGTCAACACCACAAAGTCATTCCTGATTTTCATGAAAGTGCTTCAGTCCCTCCCTTTTACCATTGACTTTCAAATTCAGGACCCTGTTTACTTTCCCAAATTAGTAATACAATGCCTTTTCCCTGGATGTTTCTACTCTGCAAAATGTGTCAGCACATTTGATATCAGGTGTTTTTTGTTTTGCTCCCTTAGATGTTGGTGGTGCCTCAGTTTGCTTCCGTTTAGGTTAAGCAGCCCATAAGAATTTTTCCTTTCCCCTTAATCCAGCCTATTTGGTACACCACACACCAGTCCTTAGTCCAGCCTGCTGGGTTCTTACTCATCTTAGAGGGGAGATTAGTGATTCTTCATGATTCACCATAAATTTTATCAAATCTACTGTGACTATTAAATCTACTCAATTGAGTAGCAATGATTGCAAGATTATTGACACCTCACATTCTTTTAAAACATTGATTATATATTCATGAACATAGGTGCAAAAATTCTAAACCAAGTAAATATAAGCAAAACAAATCTAGTAATGTCAAAAAAAATACTACTGTGACCAAGGTGGCTTTATTTTTTTTATTTTTTTAAAAGAATATATTTTATTGATTTTTTACAGAGAGGAAGGGAGAGGGATAGAGAGAGAAACATCGATCAGCTGCCTCCTGCACACCCCCTACTGGGGATGTGCCCGCAACCAAGGTACATGCCCTTGACCGGAATCGAACCTGGGACTCTTGAGTCCTCAGGCCAAAACTCTATCCACTGAGCCAAACCGGTTAGGGCACCAAGGTGGCTTTATTTCAAGATTGGTTTAAAAATATATTAATGCAGTTCACCCACATTACTAGAGCATAGAAGAAAGCCTGAATTATCATCTCAACAGGTGCAGAACAAGCATTTGATAAAATTCAGCATACATTCCTAAGGGAGACTATTAGCAAACTAGGGAGAAAGTGAACTTCTTTATCCTGATGAATAGAATCTACCAAAAATTACCACAGACATCAAATGAGAGAGTGAAACGTTTAAAATCAAGTATGAGACAAGAATGCCCATTAGTGCTTTCATTTAGCACTGTATTGGGAGACCTGCACAATGTTAAAAAGAAAAGTTGAAAGGGGTCTTCATCTCTTAAACTGTCTATATTTCCAAAAGGTAAAATTTAAGAAAAACTAAGGAAGTAGAAACAGAGATAAACACAGAAAATCACATGAACAGAACATACATAAATCACAGGGAACAAAAGAGCTGAAGGGTTAATCTAAATCACTATCACAACTCTTTTTTAATAAATAGGGAACTTAGAACACCTAGTTTTAGCTTTGCTAATGTTAATGTAAAATACCTAGAAAAAAAAAAAGTTGGGCACATTTCCTTGGCATATTTGAAGTGGTTAAAAAGAAAGAAAAAGCTCCAAATAGTTTTGAGATAGATGGCATAATTATTGACATTGTCAATAAAACATTAATTCAGGGTTGGAAATCAAATTATTTCTTTTTACAGGTACCATCTGGACTCGGCAGATACTAAGCTTGATTTATTTTGAGGGACATCGTAACAGAACTGAAGACTTGGCAACACTTGTTAGAATCCCCTTCTTGGAATACAATGTACGCAAAATGGACTTTCTCAACAGACCGTCTCCTCGCCTCTTCTGTTCCCACCTCCCATATTATTTAGTACCGAAAGGTCTCAGGAGCAAAAAAGCTAAAGTAAGTCATATAAATAGCTAATGGACCTTTGGCACAAACAAAAATACTTTCTTCAAATATTTTTTTCCAGCCCCACTCATCCACAGTCTTTCAAATGTGATTATTGTAATCTTTGTTACTGTTTTACACATCAAATATACATATGGAATTATAAGTATATACATAAATTGGGTCATCCCACACATTGCTTGTAGTGTGACTGTATAGTATATAGCAACATTACTTTGATGACAGCACATAAAATTCTATTCTTTTTAATGGTTTAGTAGGATTTATTGTATGGCTCTACAATGTTTAGTGTATTGATGGACAGGTAAGTTGCAGCAAATGTATACATTACATCTCAAGACACATTCTTTTTTTTTTTTTAATCTTCACCCGAGGATATTTTTCCATTGATTTTTAGGGAGAGTGGAAGAGAGAGGGAAGACAGAGAGAAATATCAATGTGAGAGAAATACATCGATTGGTTGCCTCCTTCGTGAGCCCTGACCAGGGTCCAGGCAGAAGGAGCCTGCAACCTAGGTACCTGCTCTTGAGGAGAATCAAACCCTGGAACCTTTGGTCTGTAGTCCCACGCTCTATCCACTGAGCCAAACAGGCTAGGGCCAAACTATTTAGTTTTCAATATAAATTATAAAATGATATCTCAATCTAATCGGAGTTTGCATTTTACTAATCAATAATGAGATTAAGCACTTTTTGATATGTTTATTGGCCATAATTATTTCTTATTCTGTGAAATTATTATGATTTTTGTCCAATTTCTAAATTTCATTGTCTCTTTCTTAATGGTTTGTTTTATATATATTCCGGATACTAATAAATTATTGGTTATATGTGTTGCTTTTCTCATACTTTGTTTCTTTTTGTAACTTCATGCTATATATTTTGATGAACAGCATTCTTTAAAATTAATTTAATTTAATTGATCAATTTTTATTTTAACTAAAATAATATTTTTCTGTTTCGGAAATCTTTTTCTTCTCTGAGACCAGAAAGATATTTTTTATTTTTAAGATGTCAAATGTTGCTTTCATATTTAAATCCTTAATCCATTTGTAATTTTTTTTTTGGGGGGGGGGTCTGGTGTGAGGTATGAAGTAGAATTCCAGTTTTATACTATATGGATAATTATTTGTTTCAATATCATCTGTTAAGTACTTTTTCCTTTTTGAAATGCTCTCAAGTGCTATCTGGGCTTTTTATCAAATGTCACTTAATGCTCACAGAGGGTACATTGAAACAGTTTTTATGAAGGGTAATTTGTAATATTAGCCAACCTTAATTAAATAAATAATTTTACTTTTAGAAATTATTCCTATATGCTTGCACATGTAAAATGTCAGGTCAATAAAGTTGATTACTTCAACAGTTTTTTAATATCAAAAAAAAAGTATAACCTAAATTTCCATAGTAGTAAGCTGGATGAAACAAATTATTATGCATTCATATAGTGACATATGTTGGTGTGAATAAACAACAAGAACCACTAAGGACAACCAAGAATTGTTAAAATTGTTTTCCTATACCCCCTGCAGATTATTTATGTCTACAGAAACCCCAAGGATGTTATGACTTCATTCTTTCACTTTTCAAATATGGTGGTCTGGCTTGAAGCTGGGAATGATATGGAACATTTCATGAAAAGGTTTCTAGATGGAAATGGTAACTATGAATTATGCATTCAACTAGTTTATGAGGCCATGTTTCCATTTAGCCAAATTCTCAAACTTGGGGAACACATTTTAAGGAAATAAAGAAGAGTAACGATAGAAGCTGGATGCACATAAGTGGTTACTGCTCTGTTAATTTAATTTGCCACCCAATGGGGCAGTGAGGGGTGATCAAGTCAGCAGGCAGAGGCAGTAAGCAGTGATCATACTGGCAGGGGGGCCAGTTAGAGGTGATCAGGCAGGCAGGCAGGTGAGCAGTTAGGAGCCACCAGTCCCAGATTGTGAGAAGGATGTTTGACTGCTGGACAGTCCCGGCAGTTGGACATCCCCCGAGGGGTCTCAGATTGGCGAGGGTGCAGGCTGGGCTGAGGGGACCCCCCCCCTCCCATGCACAGATTTCATGCACTGGGCCTCTTGTCCTATATAATAAAGAGGTAATATGCAAAATGACCGTGACAACCTCACACAAGATGGCTGCCCCCATGTGGGCACAAGATGGCCGGCAGGGGAGGGCAGTTGTGGGCCATCAGGACAGCAGGGGAGGGCAGTTATGGGAGACCAGGCCAGCCACCCAATGGCCTTTCTATTCTCACCAGGACCACTTTGGGGATTGCTATGGTTGCAAAGGCATATTGTTTAAGAAACAGTTTGGCCAGATCATAAAAGATCCGCAATGGTGTACCCATCCAAAGTGGATGTAGTGTGTGTGTTCTGTCATGGACTTATGGTAGGCTTTATATGGCAGCGGTGCAATATTCATCTCAACACTGAGGAGGATAGATTGATGGGAGAGGCTTGTGGAATGTAGAACTGGGGCTCTCACTTATTTAGAAGATTAGATTCAGGTTCTGTCTTATAGATATCTGAAGTTGCTATCCAGACATCTTAAAATTATATATATAAAGAGCCAGGGCCGTCACAACCGAAACAAGCGAATGATGACTGAACAGGCTGAGTGGGGTGACAAGTCCAGCAGGGGGTTCAATGAGGGACGACCGAATGACTGAGCAGCAGGCTGTGTGGGGCGACCAGGCCAGCAGTGGGGTCAGTGAGGGACTCCCAAACGACTGAGCAGCAGGCTGTGTGGGTGACCAGGTCAGCGGGGGGGGGGGCAGTGTG